AGGTCAGTTACTTCTGAGACACCCTGTATAATATCGACAGCAGCAGTGCCAAAAAACTGCATATCCTGCTGATACCTAATAGGACAATGGATGGGTTAGAGGCAGAACCGCCGACTATCTCGCGAAGCTGACTACCTCCAACAATGCGCTGTTAACTGTGAGCTGATGAATCTCTTTGCGGTCGTCAAAGCAGCCTACGGTCTACGAGCCAAAGGGGACTTTGTCGCTACCGAGTCAGGATGCAGGAACCTCCTAACGAAGAGGTCAGAGACCCTGGAACAATGGATCGCACACTTCTAGAACATTCCCAAATCACCCGTCGCTAATATGCCAGAAAGTCATAAATCAACTTCTTCATGCAGACAGCACCAACGAAATCGATCATCCGCCATCCCTTCTTGGGATGGCCACACCTGCTCAAAGGCACTCAGGTGAAATATCACGAGAGGACGATGATATTCCGGCTGAAGTTTAGGATTATGATAGCTCACAACCCATGGAGCAGCTTACCGGGGTCTCTCATGAGATGTGGTGGCAAGAACCCATACCTAAGGGCTCCAATGAAGCCGTCGTCGTGCCCCTTTATAAACTCACGAACATCTACACTTCCGAGGTAACCAACATAGCTATATCGTTTGGTGTCCAGGGACAATATGAAAGCACCATTAATACTGAGTTAAATAGTAAAACCCACCGAGGAAGCTTCCTTCTCAAAAACACTGGGAACATCCGCTCAATCGGCAGCAGGGACTTCCTGCATAAACGCAGAGCTGATTCCGAATACATTGTGGAACCAGGAAACAAAGACCAGGTAAAAGACCGTGCCAAATAGACTCAGGAGCTGGTTCGCAAAGCAGGAATAAGAATATTTTAACGAAAATTGTATTTTTGGACGGTTTGCCATAAGGCGAAGTTTCATGCACGCCTGCTGTTTACTTCGGTCTGAGATCTAGGCTTGAAGAGTGGAAGAAGGATATATCGCTCTCATGTTTCAGAGAAGAATCTAGTCGTCAGACGGATTGAGGATAAATGAGCGAGCAACTAGGAAACGGTGATTAATTCTTCAAAAATGGCTTTGGAAGGTCGGCCGCTTCCGAGAAGTGAGAATTGTTTCAACAGTTAACTTCTTTATGAGTTAGTTAAAAATCTATCGGAATCTTTCGAATAGAAGAAAGTTATTCGGACGCAGCGGTGAGATATTTCGTAAAGAGGCACTTAGCGGTTCCTTGCTCTTAAAGTCCTCGAAAAGTAAACTTGGCAACGAGCAAACATGTAAGTTACTATATAGTACGTTTTTATTACTACAGTACGTCTGTCTATTTGCTTAAGGTAGGTGTGTTATAGTAAATGGATGTGTCTGGCTAAGTTTGTTAAAACACTAAAGGGATAGGTCAAAGTTAACGTTAATTTTAAATTTCGGATTGAGCTAAGCAACAGGGTTAGGTAAAGAGTTACGTTTGAGATTAGGGTTTGGGTTTGTGTTAGGTTTAAGTTTGCCTGCCACGGACTTTTTTGCTCAATCCAACCTTATCTAACCAACAGCCTTGGATTCCCTGTCTTCTGCCCGTTTCTGCGTCCCAAAGTCGCATATTTCACATTTCGCGTCTGTTCCAGTACCACATCTGAGAATTTAAACAAACTGGAATGAGAACTGCTAGTGTTCTAAATGAATTTTCCAAGGTCTGTTAATTGCTTCGCTCTTATGCACCACTGATAAAATTAATAAAAACACATTTTTTACAGAAGTTCTAACACACGTTTTTCTCAGTGAACTTACATATTAGATCATTGCCGTAAACTTTATGGGCATTTCGCAACGGGAAATTTCGTGACTCGAATTTGGGGAAAACTGACGATGTAAGATTTTCGCGACGGAGTATATATCACATAAAACACCGATTGCAGGTGATAATCTGTTTGCTGCGCGCATGGCGCACCTTCAAAGCTGATGCTAAAATTGATGGGATTCCTAGATGGAAGGATAGATGACTGGAAGCCACATTTTGCATTTGACTTTTAACCCTTGTCATCCTGTTTAAAGGAACGCAAGAAACAGTAAGCAGGGAAATTAGACGTTAGACTTCGTTGTGGTACAGATTCCTCTCGTCAAGCCTACCACAGAGTCACAAAGAATTGCTACCTCAGTACTGAAGAGAACGCCGTGCTGGTTCTAGGATGTAACAACCTTGATTAAGCTGTTCTCTACAAGACTGAAGTGTAGGTAGATTGGAAGCAATTTGATTTGTTGAAAAGAAAGCCGGAGGGGCATCATGAACTTGTACATATGCGCAAGGGCAAAAGTTTTGATCGGAATCCTAAAATGACAATGATGTTATTAATGAGTGTGTGTGAGTGTATTTTTATTGAGGGAATCAACTGAAAAAATGCATATTACAAATAGGGTCGCTAAGTTGACGATGTCTTTGCAAGCACCACAGCAGAAAGCAATGCAGGTGCACACTTGAATGCTATTAGCTAAGCACAGTCGTCAATATTGTTCACGTTAGAAGTTCTTGGAAGCCCTTCTAAACTGAAAATCTAACAGTATCGTCAGAAAGTACGTTTATCGAAAAAAGCCTGATCCAAACAATATCAGCACTTTGGCAGGTTCTTACCCATTCAACAGAAAGGCTATCTAATTTGTTGCCTGGCGCAAAAGACTAGGAAATTTCGTTCGCAGACAGTGTCGAGGGGGAATTTATAAATATCCAGCACCTCCTTTGCTATAAAGGTTATGCTGACATATTTGTTGCAAAGAATATTGAGAAGAAGATGACTCGATTGTTAAGACAATATCGTTGCGAGAACAACTAAGCCCACCACACACACTGAACGCTATTCCGGTCTTTCGCAGACAAAAGAACTTCCTGCAAGCCTTGCGCTTAGCATGGCCAACGGTCACTTAAGTACACGTAAATGCACGCTTTCGCGCCCACTCCCTCCGCTCACCTCTATCCCCCTTAACCCTCGAATGGCTCCGCCAATCCCTTACTGTCGTCTTACCAACGACATCTTATCGCCTCCGACTCTATTAACAAGACTCACTTGTGTGTGAAGCGAACATTATCGATTGCAGGTTTTTACTTGTTCCCCGTTCCCGTATCAATGTCTGGACCGACGAGAAACCGAAAACGCGCAAAGGCTTGCCAAATATTCTTTTGAATCTTTGGTTAGACATTTTCGTGATTCCAAAATAAATATTAGTTTTAAAAGCGAAAAATTAAGGAGCTAGTGACTAGAAAGACAATTTATCTCCGAATGCCAAAATCTTCTCCGATTATTTTAGAGTCAAGGACAGATTAAAAGACCAGGCAAATAGTCTTACCATCTTTGGATTAGCAGGTAGGAAGATTTTAAATGCAGGCAAGATTCTCAGCCAGCACAGGGCGACGGGGGAATCCGGGAAAATCCGGGCGAATCTGGGGATAAAGAATTTTGATTTACGAACTATATTTGAAGCTCACGTTTTTCATAATCACTTTTTTATCGATAAATGATTAATAAGCTTGTCCCCTGACAAAAAAATCAATTTTGAGGGTTAAAATGAGAAAAAGGCGGCGTCCCGCAGTGAAAATGTTTTCGCTGGGAAAACGTTTTTGCAGCGGGAAGCCGCCTTTTTCCTCCTTTAAGCCCCAGAATTGATTGTTTTGTCAAAAGACAAGTTTATTAATATTTTATTGATAAAAAAGTGGGTTCAAAAAACGTGTGCTGTAAATTTAGTTCGTAAATCAAAATGCTTTATCTCAGGATTCCCCTCGCTCTATGCTGGCTGGAATAATATTCCTCTGTTGTGTGAAAATAATAGAAACAAAACAAAAATGTCCAGCGAAAGAGGGAGCATTGAGAAAAAATAGACAACGTTTTAATGTATATCTAGCATACAGAAGGCAACCACCGCCAAAAGTAGTTATGCATCACCAATGGTAGATATCAAAGCCGTTTACAGAAAAAGGGTGGTCAGAAAACAGAGGATGAGGGTGTGCATTAAATATCGGGTTTCATATTGATAGTATCTTTCGTAAGTTGAACCAATTTACTGATTAAGTAAATAGTAGTCAGTATATTAATGGCTTTTTTTCGATACGTACTCCCATGGTCAAAGCCATTGTACGAAATGGTAATTGGATAATTAAGCTGCATTTCCAGAACTGTTGGGGGACGGATATTTGGCCTTGAACGATGACGATGGGGGTCCCAAACATTCGGGTAAATCATAAGCTCAGTTCGAAGCATTAATACTTCGCCATAATTATGCATAAGATCTATCATGATAGATCTTATGAGCAGTACCTTGACTGCGCAAGACATTTTTATGGTTATAGAAGATGAAAAGTATGCAAGATTTGAAGGTTCCAATGACAAGACGTGATATTATGCATCAGCTGTAGTTGTATAGATGTGCATAGCGTTCCATTTTCGTAAAAGAGATCCCCGATCTAGTTTTATAGTAATTATGCCCCTTAGATTGTTGTTTAGTCACTGGTGTGTTTACCATTATCTTATCGTTAGAGAATCCCTGAAAAGGATCCCTCTTATGGTTCACCAAAGATCAATAAACCAAAATTTCCATTGCGGACAATCTTTGCCTAAAAGGCAGCCCCATCCATAATTAGGCAAAATGGGTGTAGTGAAAATTGAAATTCCTCAAAACGTATTCGGTTACCTCAGTCTGTTCAGCCTCCCAATTCCTGGCAGACCTCCAAGGATAGGAAATTAAATCGGACGAATTGATGGTTTCCCTTAAGGTGGTGTTAGGATTTGTAGTGCATGACTGAGTTAAAGCCTATAATGCGTATAAAACAGGTTATAAAATGTGGTAACAGAAAGACGACAGACGTAGTAATTAACATGTAGTAGCTAAACGGCACACTACGACGACAGGAAAACTGTAAAAATTGATAGACAGCAATATAAAGGATAACGATACGACTCACGGGGTCCGAACGTATTCCCTCTGCAATAGTCAGAAAATTGACGTGCAACGAAGAAGGATCGACCATAAGATTGGAGCCCAAGTTCTACCGTTCAAAACCCGCGAAAATCGTAATTCGCTTGCCTTCCAATCACTGACCGTTGATCCTGAGCCCGAGTCTGATCACCGAAGTAGGTGTCGTCAGCAGGCCAGGAAGAGCCGATGCAAAAAATGCAAAGGATGCAATATGCCTGCAGTAGCACTGCCACGTGAGTGTTACCGGAAATTGTGTTGTATCTCAAAAAGTGCATACTCAAACGGGGTAGCAAATTTAAACAAAAAGGTCAGTTTTACACACCTAAAAAGGAAAGGTACAAGGGCCTACATGTTCAACAAAATGCAGTTGGGCTTAACAGAGTAAACCTTGTGAAGGGACCTGGAGGAGTCATAAGATGCAATCCACAGTTCGCTCAAAATCGAAGACCTCATGAGTCTGTCCAAATTTTTAAAAATTACCTATTTCACTTTTGCAGGGAAAAACTATGAGCAGATCGAAGGAACTCTAATGGTCTCCCGAATTTCCGGTTTAGAAGCAAAATTAGTTCTACAAGAGCCGGAAGAGATTGTCTTCATACACGACCGCCGATTCTACTGTTAGGAGTATATG